GTTTGACCATTCCGAACTCTGTGACTGAGATTGGACATGGAGCCTTCCGTCACTGCAGATCTCTGACCAGTTTGACAATTCCAGACTCTGTGGTTAGGGTTGGCGACGAGGCCCTCTTTGGCTGCAACACGTTGACCAGTTTGACAATTCCAGACTCTGTGATTCATATTGGACAAGGTGCCTTTCGTGGCTGCAGCTCTTTGACCAGCTTGACAATTCCGGACTCTGTGACTCAGATTGGAGCTTTTGCCCTTTGTGGCTGCAGTTCTTTGACCAGCTTGACCATTCCAGACTCTGTGATTCGAATTGGACAAGGTGCCTTTCGTGGCTGCAGCTCTTTGACCCGGTTGTCGATTCCAAAATCTCTATCTCATCAGATTAGACATGGAGACTTTCATGGCTGCAGTTCTTTAAACCTGACACTTCCAGTCTCCGTGACCTGAGATTGGAGACCAGAGCCTGTACTGTGGAGCATGTACTGTGACTATCTCAACAGCTCCATGTCTGTGACCAGCTCGACAGTTCTGGACTTTGCTGGAGATGGCACCCAAAATTTTGGATGAGGCATAGGAGTTCATCGTGCGTCAGAGCTTGGACGGAGATTCGGTCAAGTTCTTTTGGACGGAGTCGTTACGCGCAGTGGTTCTTGATGGGTAGGCGCTCCTGGCTGCCCCCTCCGTTTCGAAGCTGGTTACGGTGGGGGGGAAAAACACTGCCTTATTCCAAGGGCATCCAGTTACCACTATAGCTGGTAACCAGTGGTTCCAAAGACTAAAACCATAGACCTAGAATCCCTGGTTCCTTAATATAGTGGTATAGGGATGCACTGGGATTGATACGGTTGGTTTTTCATTGGTAAATGTTCCGACCCCTCCGAGACACTTGAACTGAACAAAAGACCTGTCTCTGTGTTCATCGCTTTGCATCCCCCCAAAACTGCAGCCACTGCAGTTTTTGTAACCAACTTTTTTCACTTTTTGGTTATGGATCAAGATAGCCATATATCTAATCATTTACCATATATAATCCTAAATCCATGAATGTAAGGAGAAGTCCACCAGTTGCTCTGGCCAAACCATATATATTATATAATATATATAATATAGGTTGAAGTCAACCAATGAGAACCAGCCCTCTTCAGTCCTTTTTCGACCGTCCGCGTCATGCTCCACCCCAAGTAAATGGTCATTTCATGTTGGGGTACCATCCCCAAGAAATGCACAACAAAACATATCCCCAAAAAGACAGGACCGGTGAACTCTGGTGGTCGCCGACTCGGCTCCTTTTGTTCGCCCCAACGTCCGTCCCAACCTTCGGCCCTGCTGTAAACTATGGAGGTGACTGGGGCCCCGAACGAAAACCTAGGTGTGTTTGAGGGTCCCGGATCCTATCCGGGTGAGTGAATCCCACTTCCTTGAACTACCAGGTGAATCCAGGTAGCCTCAGGAAGGTCTTTTTTTCGTCCCCTTTTTGGACCGTGAGTGGGTGTGAGACGGGGCACTCCGACTTCCTCCCAATTCTGCACCCAACTCGATGAAACTGATCATTCATGATAAGGATCCGGACACTCAAGAAACCAGGATTTCGTTCGAGGCCCTGTACGTCACCCCGTAGTTCACAGGTGTCGGGTTCCCTTCGTTTCGGTGGAGAGGGTCTGGTTCCTCGGATCCTCATAGTGTCATAGTCGCACCCATAACCGCTACCCTGGGTGAAGGCCCCTCCAGAGCATGACTCTCCAGTTTTAGTAAGTCACAAGTCTTCCCAGTTCGGAGCTGCACGATCCAAGCCCCAAACGGCCACCGGGTTACTGGGCGGCCAGGCTCGGCGATGGGACCCTTTCCGCTGTTGATGCAGCTGGGTGCCCATGTGGTGGCACTAGACTTGCCGAAGCCCGAGATTTGGAAGAGCCTCGGTGTGAATAGGTGTGAAGGCATCTTCCAAGTATGCAACATGTCTGCCGAACTGGGCTGGTTTTTATTGATGAAAAGGCATAAATGTTGCACAGTTGGAAGATGTTGGAAGATCATGAAGATCCAGGTGTACCCCCAAATACAATAGCCACTAAACATGAATTGGACACCATTCATCAATTTGGGGACCACTATATTATAGATCGCAGTGGAGGGCAATGTACAATGTACACGTCTCCATCCAATCGTTGGGCCAGGATCAAGCAAACAGAATATTACGAGAATATATACGTAATCCTTCCCTAAGAATCCGGGCCCGTTCTGCAATACATAGGCTTTGGTTGAGCGTCCGGACCCCTGCGTTTCGGTGGAGTTTCGGTCCGACCCCTGCCATAGAGGGCCACGTTTGGATTCTTTAAAGGGGAACATGTCTTGCACACCCACACTCCATGCCAGGACGGACTGCCGCTTTAGAAGTCGACCCCTACTAACAACCACCCCCGGCAGCCCTGGCCGAGTCCCTCGGCAGTCCGGATGGTCAGTCCCAGGTTCGGGTCGTGTCTGGGACTCGGTGACCGAGGCACATGGATCCAACTGCATGGTTGGTCGAAAAAACACCCAACCACGGACGTTCGGTCGCAGGTTTGCCCAGTGGCGCGCCAAAAGCAGCGCATGGCGAGGAGTCCAAGAACCTGGTATTTGGTGACCCTACGGGTAATCGGACCCTGTGAACAGCAGGGTTCGACCCCTTCTATTATGCAGGGTCCAAGGATCCTTAGGGGAAGAAGTGCATACTTTCTTGACTTTCCTTCCTGCCCAGACGCGACCCTGGACCCGAATCCTCTGGAGGTGTCTAGACCTTCTCACCAATCCCTATAGGTTTGGTTCGGGACCGGAAGTAGGGCTGGTTTCACGGAGCGTCTGGGTGGGGTGAATCTCCTTTCTGGAGAATCTGTTCGTCGTCTTTCCACCGCGTCGCCGCGCCTGGCGCCGAAGCCCCTCCTCGGGTGGGCGCCGGGACTCGGCAGGCGTCTCATCTCGGTGGCGCGGCGCTCGCCCGGGAAGCTGACGCTGCCGTTGCACGAGAAGGCCGGGTGGTGATTCGGAGGGCGAATCCAAGGGCAGTGCGGACTCGGAACGAGGGACCTTCTCCACCTTCAACAGGTGTGGAACACTCCTGTGAACGACGGGGGATGACGTACAGGGCCCCGAACTAAACCCTGGGTTTGTTGGAGGGTCCGGATCCTATCCGGGTGAGTGAATCCCACTTCTTGAAATACTGCAGGAGAATGCAGGGGGTCCAGATCCTGGTACAGGTCAAAGCGTTCCAACTCGCCTTCCGACTCGAATTCAAGGAGTTTGCACATGCCTTGCCCATCTCCAGTTCGTTCATCACCCGAGTCAGACACTGTTTTGATTTGCATCACAGGATTGCTGTAGCTGATCCTGAGGCAGACCATTAAAGAAGATGTTTGAGATATGTTGAGATGGTTTTGGAGTTCAAACTCCATGAAACAAGTGATCCCTAGACTTCCAAGACCATTCAATTCATGGTTCCCTAAGGATCCGCACCCTCAAAAACAAGGGTTTTGAGGGGCCCCAACCCCTTCTTATAGAGGGTTTCGACCCCTTCTAAGGAGGGTCCAAGGATCCTTAGGGTTGTTGGAAGCCTACGGGATGCTACAGACTCTCCCGGATCCTGGGCCTGGGAGCCTCGAAGGGGTCGAACATGGTCGAAGCCTGGTGTCACTGGGGGAAGGGTCCCAGATCTGAAATTGTGGGAAATCCTTTGGAATGGACCATGACCTGGCGCTTCGGATGTCCTTTTCGGAATGAGCATGGTATACGGACGATCTGCACCGTAAGGACAGGCACGAGCAGGTCGGCATCCCAATGCCGTGGTCACCTCTCCACGGGATCCCACACCCGTGACCTGTAGACGGTGGGTTGGTCACACCAGCAGCGAGAGTTCACCCGGGACCTGTCGTTGGAGGGTTTGTTGTGCGGTGGGGAGGCGCGGAGCCCCGCCGCAGAGACCTGGATCCTGTGTTCGACAAACCGATCTTCCAAGTATGCAACATTGATGCCGAGCTCGAGCAGCTCGGCTGGTGTTGAATAGATGAAAGGGCAGAACATGTTGCATATGAGTTGGAAGATCCAGGTTTTTCTCATACACCTGGACCCTCCAATTCATATCGACCACGGAACATGACATGACCCTCTATGACAACTGAAAACAGTGGTCCCATGAACCCCGCACGACTTCCGAGCTAACAGGTCTCGAGCTTCCGGACACTCCAACACAGGGTGAATGACCCTATAGACTATCCCATAGGTATATGAGTAGGGCCCCCCGTATAAGGTCGCTTAACCTCTCTTGGCTCACCGGCCACCGCCGTCACTCGTCAGGTCGACGCCTCCGACGATGCGCAGCTGGCGGCGGCTGCAGGCTGTGACCTGCTGCGGCAGACGCCCGAGGCGAGGAGATCGGCGCGAGGAGCAGTGGAGCAGTGGAGATCGAGTAGGAGAGCCATGGAGCGATTTTGATGATGTGTTGATGTTGAGAAGGTGTAAACCAGTCCCATGACTGTACTGCTGAATAGGCAATTGTTTGATCGTTAAAAGACAACATGGTTTGATGAGTTGCGTTTGATGTTAGATCATTTCTGGGAAGTGCTTGGATAAAAGGACAATTACTGGTTTCTATGTACAAACAACTGCAAGAAGAGGGACCCGCGACCGGCAGGTGCGCAACTGGTTGCTGGAGCTGGGAAACAGCGGCAAGTGTGGCAGTATGGTGTTGGGAGCCTATTGCCACGTGCCGCGCATGTTCGGAGTTCGGAGCACACCGAGAAGAGAAAAACGCTTTGGCGTGGATCAGCAACAGATAGCAACAGGATTGCAGTGTACCTGGCCGTGCCTTCAGTGGGGAAGTACTGCTTTAAAGAAGTCAGGGCTAGGGGGGTTAAGTGGGGGGTTAGTACAGCCCTGAAGGACAAGATTGATTGAGGAGGGTCTGGTTGGAGAAGGATCTCAATCTATTGCAAACTTGAGAGAAGGCTAGCGGCACTGACAAGATCACGAACACCACTGAGGGAACGTCCATCCCTTCAAGCACAACCTGTGGGCTGACAAGCTAGAATCTAGAATGAGTTGTCTAAGATGTTGAAATTCTAAAAAGTTCGTGCACAAGTTCACCAGACACGACTATTTGCGAAAAAGATTACAAAATGCCGCAAAGTCGTTTGGGTTCCTTTTACGTGGGACGTTCTGAGAACCATGCTTCTTCGGACCAACGAGACGAGATAGTTTGGAGCTGGTGACTCATCTTCATCTGACGCAGATGCTGCGTGAAACAGCCCGACCCGTACTGCAACATTCAGGGATTTGAGCAGAGGCCCAATCCCTTCATGAGGGCCCGATCCCTTCATATGAGGTTTCAAGGAGTCTTGGCGTTGGATTTCTTCAAAATCCACCAACTGAGCTCGAGCGCCCTACTAGCGGAACAAGGCCTGTCATCGCCGAGGAAAGATGATGAACACTGCAAATCCCTCCTGTCTCCTATCCAACCACCTCAGGATCATCATGTCCAAGAAAAAACGACGACTCCTCTTGGTAGAATTTTTGGTTTTACCAGAACGTGGTATCTCTTTTGTGGGCCCCAAGTCACCGGCGGCGGAAAGTGGCGGTCGAGGCTATGCTGATGGACCTTTGTTCGTGCGAGTGAGCATGGCGATGGATGCCATCATCGCAGATCTGGTCGAAGGCTTGAAGGACAGGAGGTACATCGAGTCCCATCAATCCGAGAAACCTTGAAACAGTGTTCACCAGTGGCTTAAGCTACAGACAAGGGGGCCAAATTGATGGCGAGAGCAAAAAAGGGCAAGCCATGAAGCGGTGGTATATTGGCAGGTATGGATTGGGGAGCGCTCAACTAGCCATGGGAAGAAACATGAAGAAGCCGGGAGAAAACCATAAGATTGAATCTGGCAGGTGGGAAAGATGATAAAGGACTGCAAAGGAACTGGAAGCGTGAAACAAACATTGAACAACTATGCTTGGGAGGGATCAGGACACCCATTTTAGAGAGGTGGGTGTGGGTGTTAGACAATGTCCCTTACGGAGACAGGGTACTGAATTCATGCGTTAGAACTGTAAAAATAGGTTTGCTGGGGATCCAGCCATATTTTTTTTAAATAGAGGCAGCACCGCTGGGTTTGCTTTTCCTAATCGTGCCAGGTGATTCCACGCCGGGCAAACAATTCTTCCTCTAAGCATCGTCTACTGTAAATCTCTGATTGGGACACTTTCCTTCAAAAAAACAACGTGAAGAAACCTTGCAGTTAAGGATAGAGCACTCACCTCAAGGCACTGTCACTGTCACACATTTGTGTAACATATACTGGAGGACCAATTTGCCAATTGAGATATTTGGATGTATTTGGAATATGTGGTTCCGTTCCACAGTCCATCCGCGTGTTTGCGAAGTCAGATGCGACACCCAACTTGAAGGCTCAAATGCATGCTCAACCAAGCCAACTGAGCCAGCTCCCAACAGAAGTGTCCAAGCTCTTTTGTGCATCGAAGAGGATTGTTCCTCACATCCACAGATATGCAGCGCATGAGATCATATAAGCTCGGACCCCATGTTCCACCAGCAGGAAGGGGCCATTGGCTCCAAAAGTGGCCTGTAAGTTCCTACCAGCACCCTCCAACAGGACCTGCAACTTTTAAGCCTGCAAAAGCCACCATTTTGGAGACCTGTAGAGTCGGGTCCTGGTAGAGATGTTCTCTTCAGATTCTCCTCAGCATGAGCGGTTTGCACAGGAGAAGCCAAAGGTCGCTTACTTGTGCACCCCGACCGACGCGCACATTTGCACAGCAAGTTCCAAACAGGCAGCTGCCGAGAATCTGCGCAGCTCAGCATGAGCAGGATGCCCTCTGAGAGGGGGGGTTGGGTGTACAAGTCACCACCCGCCACAGTGAAGTCTCCATTTCAGCCGAGCATTTTGGAGACGTCTCCATCGTTGTAGTGTGAGTGAGTTGATGTCTTTCTCATGTTGAGAAACAAAAGAGCAGACATTCCCAGACACTCCCGACGTTGGGGTGGTTGAATTCGGGGTCCATGTATAGCAGAATGTTCCAGTTTCAGACAGGTCCTGCCGAAAATTCTTCGAACTAACATGTCCCAGACACTCCATGGGACTGCCATAGGACTGCCGAGAAAAGGCCAGGGGTGGTGGTGCCAGAGGGCTCAATGTAGGCATAGCATAGCATAGCGAGTGTCTGGGTTTGATGCATCACTTCCCAAAACACCACCGTTCCGGAACGAACTCCGTTCTCGACCCTCTCAGCTTCGGCCGCGAGCCGCGAGCACCGGTGGCGCGGTACCGGTGGTCGAACGCGGGAGATCGAGGTAAGGCTCCGGCCTGGCAGCCGCTGCTGGGGAAGCTCTTGGGCTTTGCGAAGATGGGCTTGGTGCCTAATAGGGTGAAGGCCGGGCTCTGGAGGGGGGGGAAAGGAGGGGTGCAGGCTGAGATGGTTTTGGCTCGAACATCAGTGGATGGGATGGGATGGGTACTAAAAGACTAGTTGTTGATGGGAAAGGAGGGTACTCTGATGTTGCACAGGGCACAGGAGACAGATTTGCTTGGTGAGGTCCATTCAGAATACTCCCCGCACATCGGCTGTTGGCCCTTTCATTCATTCCGTTCATCCTTCTCAAAGATGAGACACGAGTGAAGCAGTGCGCACCGTTTCCAGTTGTGTTTGTGTGGACTCTGGAGGCCTGACTCGGGCCATGGAACCATGCATGGCGGTGCGCAGCACCAGGGTGACACAGGCCACACAGGTGCCAATGAATTCACGCTCCCTCAAAGGAATTGCCACCGCGCTGAGAAACAACAAAAAACATGTCAGTCATGCTGCAGCAGCATGCTGAGCTCCAGTGAAACTTACTTCAACATGTCATAGTGTGAGTGGATTTGAGTCTTCTTATCACATTCCGTGAGGAGGAGCCTGGGGCTCTTCCAGTGGTGGATGCCATCGTCACTCAGCTTCTATGGTTCTATGCGTGGAGAACTGGCTTCCAATCAGCAGGTCCATCCGCTTGAAAAGACGTATTGGAACTGCAGTATACTGCAGCCCAGACGCTCCATGGGACTACCATATATGCCGATCAGTTGGGGTGGTGCCAGAGGGGTCTTTCTGGGGCGGCAGTCCGTCCTGGCAGTCCCAGACAGGTCGTGTCTGGGCAGTAGCATACGTGAGTGTGTAGCTCAAGAACACACCCAGAGAGCGGTTACCACACCAAGACGGGTCGCGGGGTGCACCGGTCCGCCCGAAGTCGCGAAGCGCCGAAGGGCTGAGTTCGCAGCTGCTCAGTCGAAGTGTGAGCTGTGTTGATCAATACCTGGACCCGACTGACCCAGTACCGAAAATGGGACATGACCCCTCAAAAACAGCGTACTGCCCTAAGGATCCGCGGATTATAGAGGGTTTGATCACTTGTTATAGAGGGTTCGATCCCTTCTAAGGAGGGTCCACGGATGGTGGTACATATATACCCATGTTCCGGAGGCAACGAAGAGGTCGGACTCCAGGTATTGATCATAGCCATCACGTTCGGCCCCGATTCCGCGACGGTCTAAGGGTTCGAACCCATCCGGTTGGGTTCGGGGGTTTGGAAGATCGGGCTGTGAACGAAAACGGAGCGTTTGGGTCGGTGCAGACGTATGTAGGGGTGTCCTGGCTGGACTACCCCACACTACCAGGCTTCCAGACGCACCCCGACAGAAGGGTCCAGGTATAATTTCTTTACGGCCCAGACGCTCCAAACAGGCCTTGGGCCCTCAAAACCATAGGGATTGGTTCAGGTCCAGACCCCTCCAGAGCATTCGGGTCCGACCCCTGCATAGGTTCGGGTCCCGGGTCGCGTCTGGGGGGGATGTCTTTTCTTCCAGGGGGGGTCGTTGGCCTGGGAGGTCTTCCGAAGGGCCTTTGGGAAGCGCTTTGGATCGTTGCGCAAGTTCCGTTGGGAGGTCTTCCGAAGACGGGTCTTCCTATTCAGTCGCCCAGTGGGCTCGGCCGGACCTCGCCCACATGGGTTTCGTCCTTCGGCCGAGGTAGCAATTAGTAACAAGAAGCTACTACCCTAATGATCCGCACCCGAAACAAAACCAGGGTTTGGTTCGGGGCCCCAGTCACCCTTGTGAACAGCAGGGTTCGATCCCTTCAGACTGGAGGGTCCGTAAGGATCCTTAGGGTAGTAGCAAAGGGCATTTCTACTATAGTAGCGTCCTTGCTCCCATAGTAGCAATGCCCTTTGCTCCTAGTAGCGATGCTAGGAGCTACGTTCGTAGAGTCCTTGCCCACAACCTCTGGAGGCTGCCCAAACGGGAGGTGTTTAACTCTCTTGTCCTTGGTCCGAGGTGAAAGAGCAAGGGCCGAACTACTGTTTGGCCAAACGCCTCTTGACGCCTTCGAAGAATGTTTGGATGGGTTGTCCGGTTCGACCAACGTGGTGTAGAGGGGTCCTCAAGTACAAGTATCAAACGGTTTAGACATGCCATCAAGTTCCAAGAAGTGTTTGATGCTCGGGTATATATTACATTCAATTCTCTTTTGTAAGTTTGATGTGCCTCGTTCTTTTGATCAGCCTGTCAACATGCGCAACAAGGCGGGTGCCCTAAATCATGTGAGTGAGAGTCAACATGTCGCGTTCCTATGCACTGTTTCGTCTGAGGTTCATTTTGGATACTTCACTGAGGGCGTATACCAAGCCTTAAGCAGATCGAAGAAACACAACAAAGCACCGGGAATTCGCCATGATTCATGTTTCCACCAGTTCGAGGATTTGGTTTTCACTAACTTCTGAAGAAACAGATATAGTCCGGACCCTATTTAACCTGGGGTACCTAGTATGGATAGTCTATAAGGTTCTTCAACCTCTGTTGGTTCATGTCCCCTCCAGTTCGAGAAACATGGTTTGTTTTCTCGAGATCACCGACCAGTGTCACGAGGCTTACAGCACTGGCGGGCGATCCTAAGCCGAGACCTGGGCTGAAGGGGTCGAGGGAACATCGGGGGCGTTTGGTCCGGGCTTTTTCACGGCACATGGCCCGGTTTCTTGGTGCAGAATCCTGGTATGAACACCCCTTTTTGGGGCCCTGGCACGTGATTTCTGTTTGCATTCAAACCTTTTTTGCAAATCTATATTTGATGGATCCACCTGCATGGGTGAATGGTGAATGATTCATCTAGTCTGAGGGTGACTAGTGAATTTGGCGAACTGAGTCGTTTGTGTGTTCACTTCAGAGAGCGAACGTGGACCACGTGCTTCCTCGGCAACTTCCCGATTTTGCGTGTATCCTTGGGGAAGGAAGATGGATCTCTCTACTTTGCACAATGTTCAAAGAAAGACAAAGATAGCGTGACAAAAACATGCATTTTCAGGATGAGTTCAGAAAAGGGGTGGTTCTTAAACGATGTCTGCGAAGCCTTTTGGCATTTAGCCACAGGATGTGTTTGGCTTTTCAACTTCTGCCGTGGATCTCCGCTTCAATTGACAGCTCTACTTGCTCCTCTGTGCATCTCAGGATCCAAGGGCTGCGTGGTCTCCTCCAATATCGCACCGGCCACGGCCACCGCTAGCGTGGTCTCCAATAAGTCTTTTGCTCTCGCCTATAAAGGACGGATCTGGGTCAGAGCTGATCAGGTGATGGTGTTGTGTCCATTGCATGGAGGGTCAGAGTTTTTTGTTGAGAGCTTTTTCGGCCTGGTGTTGCTTTAGGTGATGCTTTATTTTCCCGAACTGGGTCAATCCCCTTTGGGGGGATGATGTTTGTCCGGATCCTGGACAGATCTCGACTGGACGATTGGCCGACGCGAACGGGTGGTTTGAGGGATGACTGTGAGTCCTGGCACAGAGAACGCCTCGATAGGGGGATGTCGACCTTCCATGGTTTGGAGGAGGAACAAAGAAGCTCACAGCCATGTAGGCACGAGTTTGGGAGGAACCCGTCCATGCTTTTTGTTTGAGGGGCGCCTACAAATACTTGGCATGCATATCTCTGCGTGTTGTGCTTCGCCCTTGACTGATCTACTTCACTGCTGACTGCTGCCTCTTCCAAAAGTCGATTTCAATTTGACTTGAATGATATAGCGATGGCCTCCAATAGCGATGGCCTGAAATCTACTAGCGATGGCCTCCAACCTAATAGCCATGAATGATTCCTGCTTCAAGCGTGTATTTGCCTCTCCGCCTTGTTCGTGTGGATGTGCTCAAGCATCTCCCAAGCACTTGTCACCGGATCCATTAAGGATACATGGGGCTGCGATTCCGTTGTGCGCGTGGAAAGACTATAGTCTGTATGTTTGTGACGGGATTGATCACACCAGACACACCACGGTGTGACTCCAACCCCTCACTTGAACTTGACCTGCGAACCCCCTGGGCTTGTCTTGAAGCCTTGATCTCGGATGATAGCGGTGAAGGTTTCAATGTCCCGGCAGCTCTTTTTCACGGGCACCTGGTGAGCTAAGGGGGTGAACGTCCCTGACATTTTGGCGCCCACCTCGCACAACAATCTTCAACTTCCCAGACGCTCCAAACAGCCCTTGGTCCCTCAAAACCATAGGGATTGGTTCGGGTCCAGACCCCTCCAGTCCCGATTCGGGTCCTGTCTGGGTTAGACACAGAACATATGACCTCTTTGGCATTTGCATGAGAGGCCTAGGTGTGTGTTGTTGTTTGGGTTCGTTGTTTCTTCTGTGTGCCATTTGTGTTGGAGAAGAAGCGCGGCGCTTTTTTGGGTGCCAGGTTCCAAGTGGTTTTCAGGGTTTTGGGGCTTGCCAGGCAGATCCAGGTGTTGTCACCCGGTGCGTCCGCCTCTGGGTCCTTAGTCTTTGGGAGGGCCGTGTGACAAGGTGCGAATGTTCCACGCTCACATGGCAAACTACGCTCCCTTTTTGAGCTTGGATATGCTCAACCTCACCCGTTTTTGGAATTACTTATACTATACCTTTCTCCTGTGACCCAGCCCCAAAGCCCCGATCTTGGCTTCACCAAATCCCCTCAGTGAATATGACTAAAACTTCCGCACATGCAAGCAGCCGCCTTGCTCGCTCCCCCACGCTCAATCCCGCTCGCTCCCGCGCCGCGCGCCTGCGCGCGCGAGGAATGCATCACTTCAAACCCATGGAGGTCTTTCAAGGCGAAACGTCCAACGCCGTGATGTTGGGCCTGCTGGTGAACGATCTGCGGAACCCTTCCAGTGCAGGCACGAACGACGCTTTGCGTCGCGCGGCCGCGGCCGCGCTTGTCGTGGGAACACGGCGCCACGCTTCGCGCGACAGCGAAGAGCGCAGATGCCCTGAAAACCGTAGGCGGACCTCCTTAAATGGTTGATAGTCCGTTCTGTGCATTTTTGGGTGGTGAATTCAGACTTGAAGCCTGGGTTCAAAAAGAAGGTCAACCCGCCATAACCGCTCGGTGCCATAACCGCCATATCTCATCGTTGACCGGTGCCGGACTCTTCACACGAGCCAGTAGCTTGGGAGCTTCCCCAGAAGCTGCGTGAGTGAACTCAGCCCTTTCCCGGTCCCTGAAGACCACCAGGACCATCCGACCCTCTAGAGGTGCCCTGGCTGGACCACCCTACACTAGGGTCCAAGTCCCCAAGCTCCAAGGTTCCCGGGTCCAGACTTATGAATTTTACCTGAGCACGCGGACGGTTGCCGGACGGGATGGTCCGGAGCACGCGCCGCCAGCACAGAGCACCACGGCCAATCCCATGCAGCTCTTTACAGCCACTGCCTTCCATGGAGGAGTTGGGTGGGGTGAGGAGTTGGTTTCTGCTTTTTCTGCAAGCACAAGGCTGACGCGGTGGTTTTTGAGGGAGTATTTCAGATGGTTTCACTACAGTTTGAAACTATAGCATCCATGTATGGAAGTTACCTACCTTACGGTCATCTTCATGGGGTAAATGTTCAGCGATTCGGCGCCCAACTCGGAACATTATGCAATGGAACTACCGGTAGCCGGTAGCCTGCTAATTACTATTAACCATAATTAACCATATAGTGGTTTCAGAATAGATGGCACAATCCCCAAAACGGGGTTTATATGAATCCCCATCAAAAAGACATCTTCAGGTTTGTGCCATCTAATTACTCTGAAACCACTGTTTTTTTGTGCGCTCATTGATCACTATACGGTACCACATGGTACATCGCCAGGAGCTTGGCGGGTGGGCTACAAGTTCAGCACCATTGGTCCGTGTCTGGGTGATTGAACGGTGACGCTTGCGGCCCGTGGAGAATACCGGCGCTGTTCGATTGGTGCGGGTGTTTGGGTTTCTTGGGGCTTCAAAAGGATTGGCCTCAAGCGAGTGTGCATTCCAGTTTGCGAGTTTCTAGTGTTGCAAGATACGCGTTGTTGGTGGTTGAATGAAAACCGTGTATGTTTGCAGGTCTCAGCTCTCGAGCGGTGGAACCGGGCGGTTCCACAGACTTGGTGCGACGAGCGATGAGCGACGAAGAGCAAGACGGAAGAAGCGAGCGAGCGAGCGGCCCATTGGGGTCAATGTATGGATCATATGCCAGTCCCATTAGTCGTGTTTGGGTATTGGATCCATCAAAGTCAGCCTCCTTTTTTGAACATTCTCCGGCAAATCAGCACAAGTCAGCAAGGTTGTTGATGTTTAAGTGTTGGAAGGGAAAGGACTTCCACAATCAATATAAGATAATGTAAGTATATAACCGACATCCAATCCAGTGACTCCTGGTTTCATTGAACTGGGGCTATAGGGGCTCATCTGGCCAGTTTGGTTGACGCAACTTAGCCACGAAGAAGAATTCACCCAAGTCTCTAGGACTAAGTCACGCAGCGTTCACGCTGTGAACCCTCGTGGCTTAAGACATGGGAGACATTCAGTGGCTTAAGGCAATGGGGACATTCTCTTCTTCAATGGGACCAAACTGGTTGGATAGATCCCTTTCGGAGGTTGGACCCTGACACATTTGGAAGAAGCCCCCCCTTGCATGGTCCAACCGGCTTTTGGGCACAGCCTGGACACATCCATGACCTTGGCATGCACAAGAAGGAGGAAACAGTTTGGATCAAGCAGGCCCAGGTTGGAGGAATGTATCAAGGGGGGTAAATATTCCAGGTCCTTTGATGGTCTGGGTCTGTTGGGCCAGTGCTCCATTCCCCCCGTTGGACCGTGAGTTCGCGCCCCAGGTGCTCGGCGGTGGCGTATATCGTGGCATCCATGGTGGTGCCCTGCTGGTTGGTGATCTATTCGACGCTCCAAATGTTGGGCTGGTCTTCTGCCCCTCGCTCCGAAAAAACCGACGTCTTCTGCTGGTCCTCTGGGCACAGTGGACGCTAAGGTTTTTTTGGGGCTCCTGGCATCGCTAGTAACAAGAAGCTCCGGGCTTCTGGCCATACTACTAGGAGCAAGAAGCTACTATACCAGGGTCATCCTGTCTGGGTGTCCAATAGACTACCCCACCCTACGTAAACAGGTCTCCAGACAGGGCGCCCGTTGGAAGAGCTAGGTAGTAACAAGAATTAGTCTTATTGACAACGCAGGTCGGACTTCGCTCTCGTGAATCCCTCACCTTATTTCCGAACCTGGCTGAACGTTGACGTCGCGTGGCCGTTGGAGCTTTTGGACCGAAGAAACAGGTACTGCACAGTGGTTACAGTGGATGACTCCCCAAGACCCCAGCAGAGGTTGAAGAACCCGAACTAGACTATCCTATGGGTACTCCTGTAGGGTCCTAGTTCAGGTCACGTCGAACCTCTGTAGGGATGTTCGACACTGTGATGTCGCTGCCCGTTCAAATACTAGACCTTCTGAGAAGGTAAGACTGGAAACCCCGTTGGTTTGATCGGGGGTCCACGTTCGGTTCGCGTCCGAACGCTCCGTAGCGACGGGCGCCTCTTGTGACCGTCGTAGCGATGCCGGTTTGAGGTCAAACCTGCAACCACCAAGAGAGGTTGAAAGACCATATGGCCTGTATAGTGGTACATATGGGATGGGATATAGGGCTGTTCAACCTCTCTTGGCAATGCCAAAAGCTTTTGAGGGACCGGTCCGGATGTTTTCACAGAGCGTCTGCAGAGATGAAGGGCGATGCTGTACCGAACGTCAACGTCGCCACGTCCGCCCTTGCTGTTCCTACCCATCATAGAAAAGCACGGAGCTCAACCTAAGCATTCAGAGTTCCCAAGGAAAGGCTTTTAGTCAGGGAGTGGATGTGACAGGGGCACCGTCACTGATCTCCCCCCTCAGCACCCAACTCCATATGAGTAGAGGACGCTACGAACGGAGAATTTCGGGCATCGCTACGAACGGAGCAAGGACGCTACGAACGGGTCTCCTGGCCTTGCTAGTATAGGAGCATTCTTGCTTCTAGTAACAAGAAGCTACTAGGCACTCAGCATACCTCAGCAGCTCGAGCTGAGGCCCTCTTCTTGATTGGGAGCCAAGGGGCACCAGCCGCTGAGGTGAAAGGGGGGTCTCCTGTGGCGACATGCGGAAACGATCCATTTGAACGAAGGATGGCTGAGGTGCTGAATGATCGGGTTGGTACTGAGACTGGTCCAGAGGTGGCGAACTGGCGATAGAGCTCCAGATGTGAACTGAACAAAAAATGGAATCAGATGTGACTAGGGCCCTGCGTCGCGCCTGAATCCACAAGTGATTGGAGGTCCAGACAAATCGACAACAGGGAAAAGGCTTTCATGTGACTTGTTTCAGCCCTCTTCAACCAAAACTGAGCATGCTGGTGCTGCTAGTTTGTTGATCAGCTTGGGGGGATCTTACAGCAATGGCCAGTGTAGTGCAAGAGTCCATGTTGGGCCCTTCACATCCGTGGTTGAATCATCGCAAGGCATGTCCAGCACTTGGCCCCAACCATTCAACCAACTGATGATAACGCGTTGGTACTAGGGCTAGCAGTCCAAGATCCATTTAGCTTCGTGCAAGAGCCAGGCAAGAAAGACATATATTTGTGTTATAGGTGATGGCCAGAAAAAGAGAGCTCCTTTGTTCCTCGAACAGAAAAGGAGGTCCAAGCTGTTGCACTTGCAGTTCCAAACTCGCCTATAGGGAGGGTCGTGCTGGATTCTGAGATGATACACATCGAAGATTCGCCCAGTGACATGAGACTCTTCTCACAGCCTCTCAGCGCTTCGATGAAGAGCTCCAGGCTGTCATCTCCAAATTCACCTACTTTCAGATCGCTGAGATTCTCCACGCTGTGCTGGGCATGGCGCCTCGGATCCACTATTGGGATATAACCTCTGCCTGCGATTCGTTGCCTCTATGAAATGGGGGGGGTCAGCCCCATATACAACGTCTTAGAACCCGTCCCCCCCCCTTAGGGAGTCGGAATCATCGTTTTATAGAGACTTGTGTGCATAAGCTTGATGGTTCTTTTGCTGTTGCTTTTCAATCACCATAATGTCGCATCAATGGGTGACGAGCAAAATAACAACATGTAATGTTGTTGCCAACATGTATGAAAACATATGAACACCAAAAATAAGAAAGGAAGGATGAGGAGAACTGTTGAATGCCTAGGGCCTAGAGGAAGAACTGTTTGCCCGGCGTGGAATCACCTGGCATGATTAGGAAAAGCAAACCCAGCGGTGCTGCCTCTATCAAAAAAAAATGGCTGGATCCCCAGCAAACCTATTTTACAGTTCTAACGCATGAATCCAGTACCCTCTCTCCGTAAGGGACATTGTCTAACACCCACACCCACCTCTCTAAAATGGGTGTCCCGATCCCTCCCAAGCATAGTTGTTCAATGTTTGTTTCACGCTTCCAGTTCCTTTGCGTCCTTTATCATCTTTCCCACCTGCCAGATTCAATCTTATGGTTTTCTCCTGGCTTCTTCATGTTTCTTCCCAGGGCTAGTTGAGCGCTCCCCAATCCCTCTATAAAATGGGTCTGACCTCTCCTCACCCATGTTTATAAGGCTTCTTGTCTCCTACCAGGAGGCAAATCGTGGTTCGATCTTTGCTTTTGGACAATACATGATGTGGTGGTCATGTCAGAAAATGCATTTACATCCTTTGGCATCACTAGCATTTCGAGCCCTATTCCAGGTCCCTCCCAATGAATTAGTCTGGCCTGCCACCTAATACCTTGATAAAATGGGTGTCCTGGTGTCTCCTCATCCGTTTGCCTTCTACCTGCCAGAGCCACTTTTGCAGGGCTCCTCCAGAGTGCTTCCCAGCCCTGTTCCCTCCTAATGAAGTCTGGCCCTCCCACCCAATACCTCTGTAAAATGATGTGTCCTGACCTCTTCTCATAAAATTTTAGGTTTCTTGCCATCTATCCTTTGCCACACCTTACCCACAACTGATGATGAGGCGAACTGTTTCGTCTTTTTTGCTTCCGCTTTGGCTGTTGGATGCTGTTGATATTCAAGAAGTTTGACGATGTGTCCATGTAACTTCTGTGTTGGAAAGTTTTTGAATGTTCAAAGATGAAATATTACTTTTCCTGGAAGCTTTTGGGATGCTGGGGTTGCTAATAAAGTCTGACACTAGACTTAGACAGAGAATCTGAGCGCTCGGAAAAAGGCTCTTTACTGCTTCAAAAGGTACACTCATGCTTGGAAGACCTCAGTTAAGGTAATTTTAGGATTTTTCGATCTGCCTCAGGTGTTTCGATTTAGGCTACCCTGCAGGTTGGGACCACCATTTCATGTCTATAAAATGCCTCTCAGGACACCCCCTCCAGAATGGACAGGGTGATGATATAACTATCATCGGATTGCGTAGTATGCGTGTATATATATATATATATATGTGGCAGGGACCTTTTGGTAACATTTCGTTGCGGATGAAAAGCACCGGCACATTTCTCACTAGCGCGCACAGGTCTCATTTGCCCATGCCACCACGCACAGGGGAAGGAGAAACCGGACGTCGCGGGTCCTTAGATCGGTTTCTCATTGTTTTTCATTGTTCAATTATTGCACATGTATATTGGGAAGCATGCGTTGCAACTAATGAATCAGCCAAAGCGTCGTCCACTGATCTCTGGCCTGTGTGAAAATTCTCCCAGTAGAACACTCCTGGCTTTGTGCCTTGTATACAAGCGCTGATGGCTGATGGTTCCCGAAGCCTAGAACGGTTGGCATGACGTTCAAAAGCTTGTTACGCTTTTTTCAAAAGAGTACGGCCGCTTTTGCGTTCAAGCCAGGCTGCGGCTTTCGATCTTGCGCCAGCTCAAGTTGTACGCCTTTTCCTCACAAAGGTACCGATTGAAAAATCTTTTCGATAACCATCAACCGGATTGATTCCCGCGCAGATATGAACATAGTGTTTGGTGAATTCAATTCATGAGTGGCTTCGTGCCAAAACAAATGAGGCTCCCAAAAGCCACGTGATCATACGGTTGAAAGAGTTAAAAGAATGTCTCCGTCATTTTCGCATGCCAATCATCCTTGCGTCTTTGCAACGCGTCGAACCATCCTTTGGAAGGGACAGAGGCCTCCACCATTTCCTCAGCGTGCAACTCTGAAACGCCCAGGGCGCATTGATTGAATTGTTTGTCCATGTCGGGCCGCCAGAAATATGTTGATTTGAGCGTTAAACAAAAGTTCCTGCAACTCCGTAACTTGCCCGCAATTCTGCCAAATCTGAGACCCTGGCGTGCCATCTGGGCTTGAAGCCCCTGCCAGGTGGTGCGGATGTAAATGGTCTACGCAGGTAAACTGTAAAGAAAGAGCCACTCTTGCAAAGCAATACATGTTCTTTTTGGTGGCTAGAATCAGACTCTGCTCCACATGGATTGTGAAACTAACAAGCGCAAAACACAAGCCAGAGCACAAACCTATGTACGTTTTTGTTGAAGCATCAGCTTTCGTAAGCTCAACAAATCATATGTTTCTATGTTCGCTCGGCACCATAGTTCTAGTTTCTCTTTGGAGCGGCGTCCTACACCACCGGAGTATGGATTTCGTCGCCCGACTCACCTTTCTGCACCCGGAATACAATCCGACGGGTCACGAAAGCATTGTCTCCCCAACGACGCACTGGCCTTGCCACCGTGGACACCATATACATCGACGGGTCCCGTAGCTCCTGGATGGGGCAACCACATACCATGACTTACAAAAAAGAATAAGCATGAATAGCACGTATATTGTTGATGCTTTGACAGTTTGCATGGCTTTTGAAGAGTTTGTTTGCTTTTGTTGTGTTTACTCTTCTTCACACTCCGCAGACCTTCGCAGGACAATGATACTTGGCTAAGATCCTTTATCTAAGCTTACTGTTCTGCTTCGACTCTTCACCTCCACCTCGCCAGATCCCCGATTCGACGAAGCGGGTGTCCTTGGACTTCTCAAGGGCAAACTCCAAGAGCTTTGCCGCATGCTGTGGCGGAAGGCCTGGGACATCGCAAACATCCGATGGTTAAAAACACAAAACAAACAATGCACTTCCAAGTCTGTCAAAAGAAGTCCTTCATCAAAAGGATTCTGATCAAAACCTTTCAACCAGCTCTCTGGAGAACATGTGAAAAAAGAAAAGTCTGATACCTTCTATACATCTCAAATATCATTACATCTGTGTCTTCATAACTCTACGCCGTTCCAGTGGCCTGTCACTGCGACGAGCGCTTCGTTTTGTACCGAAGGACCACCTTTTTGCACCTGGCTCCTCAGTGACGACCACATATCCATCCGACCGGGAAGATCGAAAGCGGACGTTCACAATCCACCGAAACATTGCTTTTGGTTCAAGGGGCGACCATCTGCATGGAAGTCTATCATAGAAATTAAGGGGGGACCATCTGGATGGACGCTGTATTACAACTCACCGACTGCCCTCGACCAAAATCTAATCTCTGAGAATCAAATTGGATTAAAGTTCACAGGGTATGTTTCTTGAAGTGCTTCACTGTCAGTCTCTATGTTTCACTGCAGATCCCCACAGAAGCCGCTCCATGGTTATTGGATCAATGCCTTCCGGGCCTGAGCCACGAAAAGACAGTCGATCCGAGAAACTTTCCCATTCGTTTCCAGGAGACAACTGAAGAAGCCATGCCATGGTATGTGAAAAGTAAGGAACTAAGCAGTAAATTGATTTTAGTGTTTATGTGAGGAAAACACCTCTTGATATGGGTAGTGGCCCTGTCATCGACCGTCTCCCCACTCCTCACCTGAAGGTGCTGCATTTTGCAGACCTTTCGCAGCTCCTGTGCCAAGCTTTCCGCATTCAATCGGATCAAGGAAAACCTAATGCAGCCTATAGGCAAACCGACCTGGCGATGATCTGTGATTGGTAGATCACTTGTCAATGTGTCAACTTGTCAACGGCTAATGCGTTTGTGTCACTCATTCACTAATAGCCGAAGTGTCTCGCATCACGACAATCAAACATGATTCGAAAAAAACGGCGCGGAGCGCTTCGGCGTAATCCGCCTGGAGGAAGCTTCTCAGCGACCTGCGGCCATGAAGATTTCGTAAAGTTCCCTCATGACACATGTCGTGGCGTCGTTGCTGTGCTAACTGTTCTCAGAATGTGCACTGTGTAGTTTGTTCTGTCCTATTTCAATCCGTACCCTTGCGCACAGCTGAACGCTCAGCATGAGAGCCGGGCCTCTTCGGCTCGCGCAACACACTGCTTCTTTGCCGCAGCGCCGCGCTCACCTGTCATGCCGGTGGCGCATCTTTGGGTATGAATATGCCATATAATGTTCCGCTGTACCTTCTTGTCTACAACATATGATGTTTGATCAATATTCTTTCATCCTGGAATGGCCATTCATCGCGAAAAAGCAGATATCTTTCGCGGATCTTTCGCGACCTCATCGCGAAGCATGTTCCTCAAGAGAGGTTGGTTACTTAACATGTTTTGGGTGAGTCAGAGAGTCATGTATATTTATATATAGAGATACGGTGGGCGGAAGAAGAAATCCTGCACCACTTTGATACAGCCGTCATCCAAAGCTGACAGACCAGCAGCCCCACATCCCTATTCCAGGTCGTTGGGGTATGGGGGTGGGGTCAAGTTTGGTAGGCAGAACTTTATCGGCACATTCGTGAAACTTTCGCGGATCTTTCGCGAAAAATCATTAATGATTTCCCCATTGGCTCAAACTGGCTCAGCCAGGTGATTGCACTTTGGCTGTATTTGGCGCCATCTCTGTGGCTAGATTGCTTCAAGCACAAATGCCTCTGACAACTATACACATCTGTGATCTATGACACATAATACAGGAATCCCACAAACATACGCTACACTACAC